AGAGAAAGAAGAGACAAGATCCGATCTTACAGGGCTCAGGGATGTGTTCAGCAGCGCTGGCCGACAGCAGGACATACCCAGCCATCCCTTACGCCATATGGCTTCCAGCTGCCTCCCATGCGGTAGTGCCGCTGAGGCTTCCTCCACCTTTTTTATTTTTCCCTTCCCTTTGAGCACTGCTCATTTCCAGTAATGTACTCCAAGTGGGAAACCTGCCTCCTGAACCTTACAAAGGCCAGTAGCCCCATTTTCCCCCTTCTGAAAGCTGATCTGCCGGTTGAAAAATAACTTTTTGAACAGGGTTGCTGTGTGTGGTGGTCTTTCTGGGCTGGTTCAGGCATTTGGGCTGAACTGGGTTTTCCTTGCATTCCTATGGCGTGCTACTTCAGGGTGCTAATTGTAGTCACAACCTGAACTGTTGCGAACTGAAAGTATCCAAACTGTAGTGATGATAATAAAAACTAAAGAGTCCAAATGACAGGTTGGTGACAAAATATTCTGTATATGTGGGAGTATAAAGGAGGTAAGAATTTCACACAAGCTTCTTTTACTGAATTGAAAAGTTTTGCACAGTTAAGATGGACTTGTGCTGCTGTGGGGTTTTAGGTGATTGTGGGGGTTTTTAATCAAATAAACTTCTACTTTTTTAGAAAAGCTGACCAATTCTACTTCACTGTAGAAGGTGCAAATGGAGAGAGTCCTGTTTTCAGGGATCTAATAAAACTGTTCAAAAGGTTTTCTGGCTTGACAATTCACAGTCCAGTGTTCTTGTACTGATCTACAATAGAACTGTTTGGAATACAAAGCCTCTTTCCTAAGAGCTAGTTAAAAAAATCTGATTCCAGGGCTGTTAAAACTAGGTGAAAGAGGGATAGAGAGTGTGCATGCATGTGTGTGTGCGTGCACATGTGCTTTGGGGGAGGAAGGCTGGTTGTTTTGCTTTCTTCCCCAGTGTAAAGCCGTTCTGGGAATCTTTCAATAGAAAGAGAGAAGGTCCAAAGTGTTCAAGTATTCATTAGCTTTGAATGCAGCAGAACTCTTAAAAGTGTTACCTATTACTATTTTTCTTAACAAGTACTGAGTTCCCATCAGGCGCTTGTAACTCTTGAGTAACTACTGAATACTGTACCGTATGATTGATGGGTTCCTTTCTTCTGTGACCTCAGGCAAGGTCAGCCTGTATATCCCATCTCGAGTGGATTCAGGCAGCCCTATCCATCCTCACTCTCAGTCGGCCCTTCCATGTCCAGGTAGGTGTAGGAGGTGAATGACTGACTGGGGAGTAACTGCTGGCATTAGAGGGCAAGTTGCTCTTCTGCTTGCATCTTGGTCTGCCTTTGCTTGCTTTTTCAGTCAGCTAAAACTTTGTGCGTACATTTTTATTTAACATATTTGTGTACATGCAGTTTGCCTGGATCCCACACTGGTCTCGTTCAGCATTTTCTTGGCAGTCTCTGAAGTATTGCAATTAGGAGCACCAGTGGATTGTCAACAATTAATTGAGTTGCTTTGTCTGAAATGTGTCGTCAGTTCGTTTCAAGATGCAACATACAGTGCGCATGCTTGGGTTTTGCTCATGCAAGTATGCAACCAGGTGGATTGTCACTCTAGTCTGGGTTCTCTAGTTCTAATTTCAAAGTTGTTGATAATTAGTCTTGAATCATGTAGGTATCACTCCATGTGGAAACTTGCTCGCAAGTAGGTATTTCATAGCCCAAAGCCACTAATGGCAAGGGATGCCAGCACAGTGTGTTTGTACTGGTGTGTGAATCAGGCACTGTGTCTTTATGTCTAAGTGCAAGCAAGCAATGCTAACTGAGACTTGGCCATGGCACACTCCAGGCCTCCTGTCCTCTGCTTTTGCTCTCTAAAGACAGCTTCTGCATCCTGTGCTTGGTGTACACAAGGTTGCAATATACCATTCTTGGGGTTTTTTTGTGTGACCTGTAGAAGAGACATCCTATTGCACAGGGGCTTAAGTCAGGGCAGCTGAAAAGTGGTGGGTCCTCTTGCCTCTATTTGTATGGGCTCCTTTGGATTATCACTGTCCCTTCACTTCTTCACAGGGCAGTGAGAAGCATGTGCCTGTTGGGGCGGTTGGGAAGAAAACCCGTTCTTTCTCCATAGTAAATGATCTGATTTGGTTACAGGGCTTTGTGTTTTGCATTATTTTGATGGCACGAAGGAAAAGGGCAAGGTGACTAGGGAGTGGAGAAAGAAGAGGCTGGATGTGATTCCTTAACCAGCACTCACTCAGCAAACCTTTGGAGCATGAGCTTGCTTGTGATGTTGATGGTACTTTCCACCAGTTCAAAATAAAGCATGCAGGTTTTCTGCTGTGCCTGAGCTTGCAAGGCTCAGCACCTTCAAGAAATGTCTCAGCTATCCTTGAGGATGACCTGGGCTAGTAGGGTGGGATGACTGAGTTAGTGGGACTTTGGTTTTCTTTTCGTTTTCCTTCTCATACAAATGAAAGCAAGGTGTATTTAGGACAAAAGTCTTTCTCTCCCCAACCCCTCTTCCAGGATGCAGGATTTTTTTTTTTCTTTTTAGTTTGTTTTTATTTTGAGCATTGGAGTGAAGGATAGTGAATTTAGGTGAAGTGATGTTAAAATCTTTTAGCTAGTACCTTGAAAAGTAAGAGATTCCTTAACTGTCAGGGACTTCTTGAAGAGATTCTTCTTCTTTTATTTTGTTTCTGCATGGCAGTTCCTTCCTTTGCATTCGCTGGTGGTGGATATTTTAAGAACGTTTATATCTTGGTGTGAAAATGCAGATTTTGGTTAAGAAATGTGTGTTTTTATTTCTAGTCAGTGCAACATTACAGTCATTAAGTGTTTGTGTGCATTGCTAAACCTGTTTGCCTGAAAGGTAATAAAAAAACTTCTTTACAACCAAAATGTTGACTGATATTTTGTTTGTTTCTTTCTTTGTTTTTCTGGAATACGTGAGCTACAATGCACAAATCTTAGCCAAATATTTTTTATGCACTCTTAAAGAATCGTCTTCCATTGCAAGCTCCGTAGCGTTTGCATTCTTGGGGCGTCCTGCTGCTGTCATGTGTGTTTGGTGCCTGTCTTTGCTAGAGTTACAGACCTTCCTTTGTTTTCTCTTTTAGGTTTTCACATCACATGATTCCTGGTCCTCCAGGCCCTCACACAACTGGAATCCCTCACCCAGCTATTGTAACACCTCAAGTAAAACAAGAACATCCGCACAATGACAGTGAGCTAATGCATGTGTGAGTCTGCCTTTCTGCACTAGCCCTTAATCTAAAAATGTTTGAGAACTAGCTCTATCTGAAGAAGAGTCAGGGAGGTTTAAAAACAACAAAAAAATTGCCTTCCATGTCCTCTTTGAGTTTTTACTCTTCTCCTATAACTAAAACAGGAGACGTGGGCCACTGTTTGGGAAGAGTAATGAGACATGAAGCCATTTCTCATTCCAGTCCAGCAATTTTTAGCTGTTGGCAACAGTCATCTTGATTCAGACATAATCATGGACCTGTCTACCTGTGGATGTTGCTTGAGTGTGAACTCAAGAACTGCTGCTGGAAAAGGTCTTAACTTCAAAATCTACTGGTAAAAAGCAACCCTTCTGCTTAGTACTTGAAGGCAGAAGGCCTAAGAAAGCAGCGTATGAGGAGTTATCCCCCTGCCTGTAGCAGTGGTGTTCTAGGCTGCTATGTATAGCCATTCAGAATTGAGACAAGTGGTGAATTTGGAGTGGATTCACAGATCAAATGTTATTTTCTAGAGAATGTGAGTTTGATATAGTCCCTGAGTATTAAAGTAGGTCAGTTCACTGAAAAGATATGAAAGTGGATGGGACATGACCACTGAAATTCTCATTGTTACTACTTAAATGCTACTGTAACCACAGGCTGGTAATTTTCCATTGGGTTTTTTTTAGGCTTAAGGTAAATGGATGCTTTTTTTCCCCTCCTTTCCCTTTCCCCCACCACGTTTTAGGAAGCCTCAGCACGAACAGAGAAAAGAACAAGAGCCAAAAAGACCTCATATTAAGAAACCTCTGAATGCTTTCATGTTGTACATGAAAGAAATGAGAGCGAACGTTGTAGCGGAGTGTACTCTGAAAGAAAGCGCAGCTATCAACCAGATTCTTGGCAGAAGGGTATGTACAGGAGGGTGTGTGTGTACTCACGTGTGCTGCTAATTTGTGTGTGAGTTTCCCTTTGGTTGGGTGTGATGGCTCACTTTCTGCTTGAGGTGCTAACTAATGTGCAACTATCAAATTAGCTATAGAAGCTGAAACACGCAACTAAAAAGCAATATCTTGATTTTCTTTTTTCAGCATTAGCAACATCATCAAATTGGTGTCTGTTCCACTCATGTCATGGTGTCAGCACCTCAGGCATGAAAGATCCTCATTCATACATGGCAGGAGCATTCAGATCACCTTCTGGGTCCTCCCTTAGGCTGGCGTTCATCAAAGCAGGAGGGGATCATTCAAACATGAGCACTGGACGCCAGTGGAGGTGGAACTCAAAAGTGAACATAACGTGGTCCAACTGTAAAGTCGTGTAGGCTGGTAGGCACCTGTGGAGGTCGTTTAGTCCAACACCTGCTCAGAGCGGGCCTAGTTGCATCAGGTTGCTCAGGGGCTTGTCCAGTCAAGTTTTGAGTTTCTAAAGCTGAGTACTCATGATCCCGGTATACGTCCCAGAGCCTTGCTGAGAGCCCTTTGCTTCTGTGGCATCTGTAGGCATGTTTTGTTCATTCCATGCTCCAAAACAAAAATACACAGGCCAACCCACAGTTACAAACTTCATGGTCACTGTCAGTGTTGTTCTTCCAAGGGAAAGCAGCAGAGATAAATGCCCGGTTTGCCCTTGACTGTCCTGGAAATGAGAAGAGGGACTACTTCTGTGTCATTCTGAGTTTGAGTAGGGGTTACTCAGGTCCCCTTGTTCAGTGAACCCCTCTTCTTCACCACTTTCTAACGCAGTACTGGGAGGCACTGCAACTCTCTGAAAACCCTGTGCTTTTTAAGTGGAAAGTCAGTACATGACCTTAACTGCTACTTCATTGTTACAGTCTGCAGACTTCCCCCCACCCCTGGCCCCAAACAGAGCAGAAGTCTATCGGTCCTTGTCCTGGCTCCTGTAGCCTTCTGCCTGCTCTCTGATGTTCTTGTTACCTCCTCTCAAAGGACATCTTGGTGCTTGCCTTTTCCATTCTTTCATGCAGGTCTCTAGGATCATGTTTTCATTCTCACTGCTTCGGTAATTGATCTTAGTTGCTTAGTGTGTCAGCCTTGTTTTCTTGGCCTGAATGAAGGCAGTGGCTTATTTATCTCCATTTTGGTAATGAATCAAACCTCAGTGCTCCATTGCCTATTTTTTCCATAGCTTAGACGACTCCTTTCAAGTTACTGTTCGCCGTGAAAGTACCTCAAATTCTACTTTTACTGTGGCACAACCAACACAGGAGTTACCCAGTATAATTGCGTGGAGATTAATGATTATCACATGTTTTGTATTCAGTGATCCTGGTCACTATTTGCTATACCCCATGCTACCCTGGAACAGGAACCACCTCTGTTCTCGAGAGCTAATGCTGTGCATGCTGCTGGGCTCTCTGATGCCACGGCATAATGTCCGCTACCTTCCCGTTTTGGAATGCGCGTGTGGAGTTTGAGAGCTGCAAACAGGATGAACTGCTGTGCTCTCAGTAACACATCAAACTTGCCAAGTCAAGACAGACAAGCCCTTTAATTCACATCTTCTGATGTGTAACGAAACGACGTATTAAATCATACAAATAGTTCTATACGTTATTCTTGCATGAGTGTCTTGATGATTACATGTCTGTCCTTTTTTTTTTTTTCATATCTTCTCCCCCCGCCCTCCCATGCATGTTGTCAAAGTCAAACAAGAAGGCACGTCTTAACGCTGCAGTGGAACCTGATGCTAAATAAAAGGCCTTTACTCTTTTTGGTTCAGGTCTGTGTTAAGTGTTTCAAGAAGAACAAAATTATTAGATACTGATGTACCTGATGTCTTTTCAACTGTTGCAGGTTGTGAGGGTTTTTTGTTTGTTTTCTTGAAAAGTACATAAAAGCAGGAAGTTTATCCTTACTTGGCTACAGAGGTCAACTCATGTAATTCGGAAGAGTCCAGTTCTGCGATTTCTGTATCTTAGAAACTTTTTGCAGTTGCAATTTTCTTTTCTTCTCTTACAACGGGAAGAAATCAGAAAGCAGGTACTTTGAGGCTTAATACTTAGAGGTTGATCTCGGACCAGGAGCCTGCTGGGGCCCAGAAAGCCCTCTGCGTTGGCGTTGAAAACCCACGTGTAGCTGCTGCTTAAACCCAAGACAGCAAACCCTTCTGTGGTGGGGAACTCGCTGCCCTTTAAAAGCAGCACAAAACCTTTCTGTTTTGTCAGGAGCTAAAGGGTGGTTTTTTATTGTCCTTTTTTGGATGCCTTTTTTTTTTTCTTTAAAGTAGTGTTGGGAGAGCGTTGGTTCTGTGAGCAGATTATTTGGTGAGCCCTATTTCCATAAATGATTTTTGTCTTGCTCAAGGCACTTGGCAGTTGCGGAGCTAGCAAATGCCTGAAAATTGGTTAATAAACACAAGTGCTTGTAATTGCTAATGAATTTCATTTTTGCAGTGGGGAATGACTGAATCAAAGTCACAAAAACACTTGCTCATGTCATCCTTTGCCTAGGTATGAGCTATTTCCTAGTCTAATACTCTGTTTATTTTGTTTGCAGTGGCATGCTCTCTCCCGTGAAGAACAAGCGAAATATTATGAACTAGCTCGTAAAGAAAGGCAGCTACACATGCAGCTTTATCCCGGCTGGTCTGCAAGAGACAACTATGTAAGTCACTCACTTGAAGGCTTTTTTTTTTAAATTAACTTCCTTTACCTAACTTTTTTTCTTTCTTCTTTTTCTTCTCTTAACTTGTGGAAAGTTCTGGGTGGAGGGATGGCTAACAAACATACAAGATAAGCCTTATATTTGTTTGCACTTCAAGCATCCAGAAAACTTGAGGTTTTATGGTTGTTGTTGAGATGCTTCTTACGAAGGTCACAGTTTTTGAGGGGAAAAAAGTAGCATGGAAAGTTTTTTTTCCGAAGACAATTGCCAGTACTGTCTGAAAGCTTACGTTCTACTGTACGGCTGTGAATTTTCCCTAATTGTCTATTTGATCGCTTGCTTTCCAGAAATCTTCAGACCTGAGCAAAAAAGGGGCATCTCTCTTGAAAGAGAACCAAAAGCCCTGGGGTCTTAATGCAAACTGAACTTTAGCTGAAAGTAATTCAGAGCGGTCCATCTCTGAAATAAAGCCTGCAAAATTTGTATAAGTAAAATTCATGATAGATTCTGCTTTTAGACAGTTTGATGAAGCTAAGAAGTTTTCTTACAATTGGTCTTAGTTTATAATTACCTATCAAACAAGTTTTAATAGCACATTGCACAGCTTGCACTGCACAATGATACTATTGTGCTTACAATGAGCCGTCAGTGGAGTCATATGTTACGTTATGAAACTCACAAGCTGCAATCCTGAGAGACTGGTCCTCGCCCAAGACCTGGGCTCCTTTCTGTCCCCCATCAGCTGTGACACTATTTACTGTGATAGGAAGCGTACATGCTATATCTGGCTCAGTTTTCCAGCTGTGTTAGGTGGACAGTAGTATTTCTGTACTTCAGTGATGTCTTGTGGACATTAAAGATTATGAGGCACCTATATACAGTGTTAACAGAAACTGTAAAAGTAAGTACCCAACATTTCCCATCCAGCAGAGCTACTGTTCAGCTTAAACAAAATTTTCATTGTAAGCTAGAGTCTCTTAGGGAGATCTTTGGCACGGGAGGCATTGACATGGAAACTGTGTGATCATCTCCAGAGCAAATACCTTGGTGTTGCTGACATCCATGCCCAGTTTTGTTAGCACAGACACTACTGTGAGACCTAGCAGCTTGTTTCTGCCTGTTTTATACAGTCATCTTTCCTAGCAGATGAGCTGCCATGACCTTATGCAGGTAGGGTTTATTTCCAGTAAGCAGACCTTGTCAGCAGAGCAGTCTTGAAATACACCCAGGAACGAATAGGGCCTTGGTGATACGCTCCCTGAAAACAGCGGGATTTCAGTTGTCTTGAACTTACTTGCTGGAAAATCAAACCACTTCGGAGGCTTGTCAGTTCACACTTACCGGATGTCAGCCTTCATGATTGTCCTGTGATACTCAGTCGTGTTGACTTTGAGAGCCTGATGTGTTTTGCCACAGCCTACTGACGTACAGCACAAGCAGTGGACTTGTGGTTTCTTGAGCGCCTTGGTAGACATTCGGAGTGTGCAAGGTGGCACGTATGAATGCTCTCTTTGATGTGCTTCCAACCTCCATCCTGTGTGGAAGGATAGTGTTGACATTCTCCAGTCCTATATGTTACAATAGAGAACTCTGCTAGCTTCGTCTTGCAGTCCTCCTCTCTGCCTCTCCGGGAATGCACGCACTGGTTGCAGTGGTGGTGAGAAGGTGATCATAGTAGATCACAGCTTATCACTGAAACTTTTTCAGGTTATTTGTAATTTTTTTTTTCCTTTATCTCTTCATTTTTTCTAGCTTGAGTAGTCAAAAAATGAAATTGTATTCATTTAGCACAGATATCACTGAAGTATTGTCATAGTTGGAAGTGACTTAGGGGTGACTCTTCTGTTTCACGTGGCTGAATTTCACAAAACAGTACAATTAAAACATTTGTACTACTTGGTTTTAATTCTTCTATTTTGGTTTGACTGGTTATTCAGCATTTCAGAAATTTCAAGGAAATGTTAAGCATTGCGTCTTTACTACTGCACTTTCCTCTGTGAAGAAGTATTGCCTTGGTGCCTAAGTGATAACGCGTATCACTGTGAGCTTCCCAGAGCCCTGGAAATCTGCTTTCCAACTTCCAGTCTTGGTCCTGTCTTTGGGAGCTCACTCACAAGGCACTGCCCAGCCCTGTCACTAGCCTCAGGTTAAATAAGGATGGGAGCTTAAGAGTCAGGCGGGCCCACGCTGTCAGAGCAGACTGGAGACTGCATGAATTGATCTGCTGTAGCTTCACCGTAGCCTGTATTTGGAACCCTCGCTTGCTGTCCATCGGTGAGCACTGCAGTGGCTGAGGTGGCTTCTCACATCACCTGCTGTCCCTCCCGTCGCCTTGCAGAGCTAGCTAACGGGAAGATGGGTCCCTCCACCGCAGCCCTTCCAGTTGGTGGCCGCTGGGCCTGGCATGGTGTGTGCCGGCACATGTGGGCTGTCAGCCGTGCTGAGTGGGTAACCTCTGGCTGGGGGGCAGAAGGGGGGATGGTGGGCTGCAGTCCCGCTTACGGCAACTGCAGCAAGGTCTGTCAGAGCTCATGTTAGAGCCTGTCCGGGCAGCTCAAAGGCTTCTTTAAAATATAAATGGATGTGACTTTTTTTAAACAAACGAACAAAAAAGCTTTGACTGACAATACACAACAATAAAGAGAAGTCATATGGAAGAATATGAAAGTGGTAATTAGGGCAGTGCGAGATGATTGAGGTTTAAAATTGTGGGTCTAAACTGACCTTTTGTTTCCTGAAAGACTGTGTGAACCAGGAGCTCTGGCCTCATCTTTTCCATAGCTGGTGGTGCGGGAGAAGGCAGAGTGTGTGGGTTGGCGCGACGAGCCTGCGCCAGCACACTGGTGCCACTGTGGTGTCCGAGAAAGACAGCTGCCAGGCGTCCATTTCTGTCCTGCACCTCGGTCACGTTGAGGGTGCTCCCCTGTACAGCAGTCCGCCGTTTGCCTATTGCCCAGCGCGTTGTCTGGGCACGGCCATTCGAGACTTGGCTTTTGTTAAGGTACGAGCGTTATCAGAGCAGTTTTAGTTGGCTGGTTTGCACCCTGGGGACAAGTCATGGTTGTCCTAGGTGCTTTCAACACCCTGTCTGCTGTTGCCATGTATGACAGCGTAAGTATCTGAATGTGTGAAGAGTTCTTGCAAGAGCCGTAAATCATGGTATCAGCGTATGTGTCATCAGATTATTAAGCGTGAGAAGTCTTTTAAATGCTTGCGGCTGCCAGTGTTAGTTGAAAAACTGCCAGAAATTGTAATACCATGTGATATAGAAGTGTGTATTGCTCATGTCCGTATTTCTCCTTAGATGCTGAGAGCAAACCTTGTTACCATTGAAACAGTTGGAAGCGGATTAGAAAAGGTTTTAGCTACCCTGAAAACAATTGGGTTTTTCCTAACCGCTTTCTCAGTGCCCAGATGGCTTTCCTTTCTATGCTGCGAGGTGGGGAGTGACAAAAAAAACTTCTACGCGTGTGATGGTATGGTAAAATTTCCTCTTTTTCAGGGGAAGAAAAAGAAGAGGAAGAGAGAAAAGTTGCAGGAATCAGCATCAGGTAGGCCATGACCGACCCTTACTTACCGTTCACCTCAGGCATATTACAGAAACCAGGGCTTGCGCTGTTTCATTTTTACACGCTTTCCTCTAACGCTTGCTTCTGACGGATGTTTTAAGCTACTTCACTTTGAGTGCAAGCTTGGGAAGATGCACACACTACAGCTTCACCTTTCCCTTACACCTCTCCGGGCAGCGGTGCTGACGGCGTCAACATCTTTGGCTGAACTTACACATTGCTGCAATCGCTGTCCTGCTTTACCTTCGCTTTGCTTCTCGTCAGTCAATGTTGTATCATCCTTAGACTTAACTATGTCTGGAATGCTGTGCAGGATTATTGGACTCTGGAAACTTAACTGACCTTTTCGTAGCCACTGTATTTTTTATCGCTGTATTTTACATGTCTGCGTACACGAACAACTGCCTGGTAGGTTGGCTAAAAGCATCAGTGAGGTCTCCTCTTTGGCCATAAAATACATATAAAGAAACAACCTGTTTTCCCCAACAAAAATGGCTGGTATAAGAACCATAAAAGAACCAAACAACAAAACCAAAAACACACCAAAAAATCCATGTAATACTGTAGCAAACAAACTTATTTGGAATGTGCCAAAACTCTGTAACGAAAATTTGTTAAAGGAAAACAATCTTCTACAGGTACAGGCCCCAGAATGACAGCTGCCTACATCTGAAGCATGGTAAGAACATCTCTAAAGCTTTCCTGATGATAAAACTGAATTGTAAAATAAGCTTTCTTATAAAATTTTATGCAATAATAAGAATTTAGCAAAAAATTGCAGAAGTATCATATCCCAAAGCTAATATTACTTTGACTACTGATGGTTTTTATACCGGCTACCTATTAGGTGTTCATTTCACTTCTTAACCTTAATACTTTCAAATTGACCATACCTCACTGGCTGGCTGCAAGTCTGCCTGGGAAGCACAGGGGATGGGTTTACTGAGCAGCGCAAACCTTCCCAGCCAGCAGACTGTGACAGTCTGTAAGAGCAGGTTAGACACTGGCTTCGGAGTGCATTTTGTGTGCTGATTATCTACAAGAGGCTGGCTGGCTGGGTAGACTTTTCTAAAATTTATTCACCTGTATGCTAACAAAACATTTGCTAAGAAAATGGGACTGTATTTCGGTTACATCAAGAATTTCTCCCTCAGCTGTACAGTGGTATTTCATGTGTGGTGTGGGTTGGGGTTTTATTGCTGCTGTTTTATTTCGAGCGTGTGTTCTCTCTCTTCATACCACCTGCGTGGAAGGTGGAATGATTGTGATTGCACACACCCAGTGACACCACCTGCTCTGCTTGTGGGGCCACGCAGTACCACAGCAAGATCCTCGTTTCTCAGTGTTTGTGCTGGAAGGCTGGTCCTTTGCTTCCTCTCAGCATGATACATTTTCTAGGAGGAGTGGCATTCATTTGACATAATAGGTGCTTCTGCACTGCCTAATTAACCCAGACTGCTCTCAGGTGATCCCTGAGAATTCCAGGAACCGTGCAAAAAAACTAACACTTCGAAACTCACCTGTGCGTTGCAACAGAAAGGGGCTCTTCACCCCCTCTGCCTCTTGTTTGGCCACGCGATCCCCTGGGCACACAGCGCGGTCAGCGGAGCAGCCTCCTGCGGGCCCTCTGCTCTGCTCGGGCTTTAGGCCAGAGGAAGCCGTGACGTTTGCTCTGTGCGGTGTGTCAGCTGTCAGTCAGTCAGCATGATTCCGGCCTCTGCTGTAGTGATGCTGTGATGCTGGTTAGCCAAGAGTTTGGGGTTTTTTAAAGCTGCATTAAAGTGAAAAGGCAAAATGCATGCTCTTTTTTAATTTTTTTCTTCCTGCTAAGCAAAAGTTTTTCAGGCAAGCAGACAGTCTTGCCCTTTGCAAAATGCGTGACTGCTGTAAGTATTATACTTACTTAAAAGAGAAAAAAAAAAAGGCAAGCGCTTTAACTGTGAGTTTTATAATTGATGTTTCAGCTTCGTTGCCCAGCTCCACGATGCGAATATATTTTCCCTTTGATGTTAACGCAGTACCAGTAAGCAAAATACACATAATTTTATCTGAATTGACACAAAGCACTCGGGATCGGAATACAACCAAGGTTCAAGCAGCAGTTAAAAACCAGGGGATATTTGGTTTCTTGGATGCCTTACAATCTAAGAGTGGCTGCATTGCCTACACTGAACTACTTTTGTTGGAGTTTCTCTGTTTGCGTTTTCTACAGTACAGCAAGAGTTGAAATAGCAGAGGATAAATGCTCAGAGTGTGTGGGTCTTCTCTCTCTCCCTCCTTTCCTCCCTCCTTCCTCTCTTCCTTCCCCCCGCTTAAGCTCTGTAACGGTGTGGAAACTGTTGGTGATAGCTGTCTCTCTGTCCCTGTGCAATCTGTGACACGGACTGTGAGAACGGTAGGTGTCTTCTGCCACTGAGGGGGAGCATGCTGTTGGCTCCATACATGCGCGTGTAGGCAGCCCCACTAAATGCTGCGTGCCGAGTGCATGCTCCTCGCTGGAGCCGTACAGATGTGCTCTAGCTGGAAGTAAATGTGCAGAATGATTTAGGGAGCCTGAATCGGCCAGACTTCAAAGTGAACTTGTGAAGGTTAAGGCTCTTGCCCTTTGCAAGCCTAAGCCAAAGAATGTTTTGCCCACAAGCATAGTATCTTACCAGGCCCACAGCAGAGCTGTTGTAGTCTTTACTGGATGGAGATAATAAGTTTGGGAATGCCTTTCGGTGAGAGGCGCAAAGAGCTCTTGAAGACAGGAAAACACTAGCTTGCTTACTCGTACGGATGGTGCAAGGAAGAGGGGGAAGGAGGGTGGGAGGTCTGGGAAGGAGGCAGGCGTTCTGTTATCTGAGAAGAATCAGAAATGAGTAGGTGGCAAGACCAAAGAAAGAATCTCGAGATCAGCACAAAGGAGATCAGCCAGGGCTGTAATTACGGTGATGTAAGTGAGCAGGATGAAATGGTGGGAGGGTTCTGTGGTGGGATGTTCAGAGCAAAGTAACGGAAGAGACATGCAAACAGAAATTATTTAAGATACTGTGAAAGTTGGGGGGGAGGTGTGTGTCTATGAACACTTCAGCACATAACTGATCCTTAAGGTGGACCTCTGACCTGCGTTTTGGCTCTTTTTGAGCAGTGAAGTCAAGGTGGTAGTGTGAAGTTGCTCCTCTTCCTAGGGTTGTACGCAGCAGCAGGCTTCTTATGGCTTCACTGGCCTAGGATTTAGCCGAGTTCTGCAATCTCCTCCAGCCTGCTGAATGGCCAGGTCCTAAAACACTTTAATATTAGAGGGCTTTAGGCATACCATGACCTGGTGCTCCAGACTTTGCTAAATTATCCTGGGATACTCCAAAGAATGTGGCCATTCTTGAAGAGTTGTGGAACTCTCCCTAAGCAGGATTTTGTTTTCAGTCAACATGGCCCAACGCAATGTTTGAAAAACCTTTCATTTGTTGAAGAAATAATTTGTATTTATTCTCCCCTTTTGAAGTCAATCGAGTGTGGCATAAGACCTGATAATGCTAAAAATTAATTTGGGAGAGGCCAGGAGGGAAGTGAAAATGGGGAAAGGTAAGAGTCAGGGCAATGTAAAGATGGTCTGTTCAGCACCTTTCAGAAAGTGGGTGTTTTCGTGTTACTTTAAGTACAGCCTTCTAGAAGATTTGCAAATGGGAGCAATTCTGTGTCAGGAGTGGCGATTCCTGATTTCCTATCCAATTTGACTTTTGGAAGGAAAAGAAGCTGAGTTTTAGCATCTCGTGTATTTTTAAATCACAAAGGAAGTGGAAGGGTACTAACGAAAATTCCTCCTGATTGTTCCGCAACATGGAAATAGTTAACTTCTTATGACTTGGTATGCATGGTAATTGTAAAAAGCACATCATTTGACATATGGCTGGATGCAATTGGGAAGTCCTCACAAGCTAAATAACATTGTGTTTTGGCATATCTTCAAGGGCTAAAAAGAGTGATAGAGAAGCTTAATGGACATTTGGAAGCCTGTGGGAAGTGTATTTGTGGCTTGCAAAATTCCATTACAATTAGCATTGAGATTAGCAAAGCTTTCAAAAATGAGAAAACTTGACTAACACAGATTTACAATCAGAAGCACTTAAAAGGATCAGATTAAGACTGTTTAACTTTACACAATGAATTATCTATAATGTTTCAAATTTCCTACATGGAAATTGGAGCCAAATTTCGGTGCAGAAGTGATTTTTTGATAGTGTTGTAACAAACAATCTATAACTGGATTATCTGTTCCTTGTTACTTAGAAATGAAATGGAGTGAGGCTGTGAAAGCTGACTGTTAGGTGGACCAATCTGCAGCCAGAACACTGTGGAAAAGCACCGTCTGATGCCTGTGGTCATGCTGACCACGGGTTTCTGGCCGGCGTCCTAGAGAGGAGATGCAAAGAGGATGTGGTGCCTTGCTTTGAGGCACGTGTTTTCTAACCCAGCTTGTCCAGCACTCGTGAAATTGCTGCTGGAGGAGCTGAAAATGAAAGAAGCGCTCCACCCCTTTCCATGCGTCTCGACTGCACGGAACCTTTAAACAGAGCCTGGAGGCTTTGCGCAGAAGTTGGCGTGTGTGAGAATTCGAGGGCTGGCGGTGGTGCAGAGGCATATCCTAATTTGCTTTAAAAATGATGTTTCCTGTGTGACCCATGTTTCCCTGTTCCCTGTTTTGCTTATGGACGGTGGCCTTCAGCATAGGCAAGAGGGACGGGATGAGCAGAAGAGAATCTGCGGGATTGAAACATTTATCTTACGGAAAACTTCAGTTCAGCCCTTTTCAGGTCAGCATAGAAATATCCAAAGGCAAGGGGTATAGCCCTCAGACAGATCCCCTCCTGCAGCTGAATTCTGGCCTGACATTTGTCCTGCCAGGGTGAGAGAGAGCAAACCTCCTCTCTTTCAGGCTTTCTTGACATCAAGAGAAACCTCAAAGGAGCAAAGGTGAAGAAGAGCTGTCTCCCATTCGGGGG